ATAAATAAATAAATATATATATATATATATATATATATATAAAGTGATGGCCAATACTTCCCTTAGTAAACTTCAGGACTATCCATGCCAACAATGTTGATTTTGCAATTCATTTAGGAGATCACAAAATATAATTTTGTACATTCAAAACATGTGAATTCTATCTCGATGAACTTGAAGGAAATCATCAATCCATTTGTCACATACTGAGGAGGATGTCATAAACAGAGTTTTACACAAATAAGTTTGATAGTATTCATTAATGAGATATATTGTAGTTGCCAAAATGATTTTTCATTGAACTGTCTTTATGTTTTTCTCTTTATCCATCATATCACTTCTAGCATTGTCAATAGATTTGTTTTACCACATAATTGTCATAAATTTGAATGGGATATTAAATATAACAACTAGTAATGATAGAAGGGTACCAATAACTTAATTAAAGTATTGTGATGCTCAAGAAAATGACGAGGTAAAAATTATTACACAAATTGAATTAACCACATAAATTGGGTTAATAAAATTGAATGTAAGTTTGCTTAAATTCGAGCTTTGGATGTGATTTTTAATCGAAGTTTAAATTTTTCTTGCTAAAAAATTATCCCGAATTCATATCATACCTCGAGATTCATCACAGATGACAGCAATTTGCCTTATAAAATGAAAATAAATAATAAAGAAAATTTAGGATCACATGAATTGAATCCGTCCAAAACATGAACACTTAAACTAATGGCTGACAATGAAGGTACTGTCACCGAAGCTTCTCTGACTGTACCTTTTTTAGAAATAATGGCAGCATTTTGGTTGAATGTAACTTGACAAAATCAATAGTATGATGACAAGAATGATTTGATACTTTCATCATGTTTCTTGTTCTTATTCTTATTCTATTTATATTTTTACATTATATATGGTGCTTGGTGCTTTGAATATAATTTGTTTTTATTTATTTAATATCAAATAAAGTGATTTATATGATGATGATGGTGGCCATTGGTAGAGGCCTGAAGAGGTGATCGGTCGGGTGGCAGCTGGCAAGACTACGATACTTAAGAGGTCAATAACGATCGGAACTGCATTGTTGAATAAATATTTAATATTGATAATTAAAAAAATAGTTTTAATCATTTGGCATTTAAAAAAAAATGGAAATCTAAAAAATTGACTTTCGGAATCTCGATTTTAGGTGATGTTCAGGCAAAATCAACTTTCAAGAGGTCTATTTTATTTGAAGTACCTTTTTTTTTCCTTAAACCATGTTATTTTTGGCATATTCATCCAACATTGATTCTACACATAACATATATGAATCCATGGTTTTATTACAAATTATGTCCATTTGGACTTACTTATAAATAATAATTTCTTATAACTTGTTCAACATCACATTAGAATAATGATTACTTCATATCATGTTACATGCAACAAATTATGATTATTTCTTCCAAAATGTGCCAACTACAACTCTACACAAACATATATGAATCCAAGATTTTATTAGAGTATATAACCAATGCTTTATTCATGGTGATTTACACGACGAATGATTTCTTATAACTTATTAAACTTTTCATAAGAAATGATTACTATATATTAAGTTGCATCAACTACAAATGCATTACATATGACGTCGAGATATAACACAAAATCTTGTACAATGTGCAAGAAACAAACATTATGGGTCTGTTTGGAGCAGCTGCAACTTATTAATAAGCTGCTGTACAGAAGCTTCTGCAGATAAATTGGCTGATTATTTGTTTATTATTGTTTGAAAATAACTGCAGCACATTCATATCTGAACAAATGATCATTCCACCTCTGTGTAGTAATATTATTTGCAAAAAAACTGTCATAGCAATACATTTGATACTTTATAAGTAAAAAAAAATTAACTTCATAACAATGCAAAAAATAATATATACACCTCATTTAAAAGTGAATGTCATCATTAATAAGAAATAATTTAAATGTATGGATTTGGTAGGTTTTAATAGATTAGCTGATGAATATTATCTTATTTGCTAAATTGAGTTAACACATGAAGAGAGCCGAGATCATATATATTGTGTTACAAGTTTATTTAAAACTAAAAACAAACTCAAACTCATCAAACTAATTATGATTCACATTTTACTATCCAAAACATAAAATGATAGACAAGAAACAATATACATTTCTGATTACAGTAAACTTTGAGACTGCCATTGCTCGCTCTATGGTTCTGTAAGTAGAACTAAATGTTGTCTGCTTCACTGTACAGAAGTTCTGACATGCAGCTTCATATAGGTTTTCTTGCAAAAATTATAAATAAACAGAAAAACAAGTACTGGTCTAAATGAATTTATATTCCTATATATCATTCTTTTGTTTTTTTTCTTTTCTATCATACAGTATTATGTCAGCATCTTAATCGACGGCTCGAGAAGCATCGACATTCAGGCGGTGCAGCGAAGAAAATTTTCAGTAACTGAATGCAACGAATCATGATGAAAGGAAATGAGAATTACACCATCTCCAGAACTTTGATGTTCCCGTTCGAATTCGTTGCAACCAGATCAGAAGATTGGCCCCTCCAACAGACACAGGAGACGAATTGGTTGGCATCATCAGCTTCGAAGCCGGATATGAGATCGATGCCGCCGAATTTGTATGAAAAAACGGGCATGGGGAAAGCTTTCTGGTATATAAAAACCTGGTTCATGAGGTAAAGCAGGATGAGATAGGAGTTAAACAGCCAGAGAGAGAGAGAGAGAGAGAGAGAGGTAGAGGTATAGATAGAGAGAGAGTATTTGTCTCCCATTTATTTTCTTTCTTTTCATTAGTACTTGTACACAACAAGCAACACTGCAGCAGCCCCTGAATTTTTTTTTTTCTAAAGCAAAATACAAATTAAATCAAAATTGACACATGAATGAGCATTGATTAAGTGCCTCTCCATCTTTGAAAAGAGAGGATGAGGAGTCTGATCTCTCAATAAACATGATGGACAATAAAAGATGATTACTACTCGAAACATAGAATGAAGCTGCTAAAGCAACTTAAACAGTCAATATGAATGGGGAAGTCCACCTACAAAGTAGGGGAATTAGATAAATAGTAGCAAGGATACTAATCAAAGAGAATGGATATAGTTTCATTGAAAGATTAGTGATAGTAAGTATGATGTTATAACTTGATATTGAATCCATTAAACAAATGAAAAAATAAATAAATAAAAGAAAAAATACATATTTTACGTAGAAAATTTTACGTAGAAAACTCAAGATGGAAAAAAAAAAAAGAACAGATGAGGAGAATTCACTATAGCAAATAAGAGATTACAATTGGAATGTCATTTACACAAAATAGAATAGGGATAAATATAATTTTAGAAAGACTCATTTAAAGGAAATAATTAAAAGCAAGTCAATAAAGCAATAGTATATGGCGTACAATTTAAAGGCTACTATAAAACCTCAATCCGTGTGTTCAAAATTTCCTTCTAAAGCTTCGATCTGAACAATCATAATTTCCTACCCATAAAATTTATGTAACATTTAGCAATCTCTGTGACGCCTAGTTTCATATACCCTAGTCAAAGTGAGGGAGATGAAGCGAGACGGTCGAGAATTCAATGAGGTGAGTACGCTTTATTAATCCACTCGAGATGGAGGGTTCGAGAGAATTTGCAGCAGAAGCCGGCCCTAATGAATGACTTGGAGAGTCGAATGGCGCATGCGGGAGGAGACGAGCGTAAGCTGTGGTCGACAACAACTGATGCCGAAGTCATCGAGTAGAGGAGGCAAGACACTCAACGAGGGCAACAAAGCTTGAGGAAGTATCTTTTCAGTGGGAAGGAGAAGTAATTAGCAAAGCTAAGCATCATGCGCAGAGGAGAAGACGGGTTCACGTGCGTGAGTTGGGGTTGTGAGTTTATTTAATCAAGTTATTTAATAAAGATTATATATATATAAAGGAAATCGATATTTGGGGCCCCATGATAAGAGCCCGCGCCATGTGCCTAAAATTTCAAAGCCCCCGCGCCACGATGACATCTAACCCTTGACCTGAAGGGACATATATATATATATATATGTATGTATATATATATATATATATATGTATGTATATATATATATATATATATGTATGTATATATATATGTATGTATATTATTTGAATGTTAAACTTAAGTTTATTTGATTCAGGCTAAAAAAGTTTCACTTCTAGATCGAAGAAAGGGTGTCGGCAATAAAGAAAGATTAGGAGGGATTTTGGATATTTATTATACTAATGGTAGAAAAGATAGTCATCTCACAAAAAGAAGATAGGATTCAAGACAAAATGAGGAAAGAGAAATGAAGAATTAAAGTGACACTCAAATCGTAAGAAAAAGTAAAAATATTGGTAGATTGTGTAGTGTAGAAGCTAGAAAATGTATGTATCAAGGGAAAAGCAATAAGTACAAACAAGTTTGCGCATCTAAGCGAGAAATCGAGCGCAATTAGCATTGAGAGGATAAAGAAAAGGGGTAGTAAGGGGCAAATATGTATTCGAGCATGATAATAGCAAACACGACATTAACAATAAGCATACAACATCTAGAACAAATTGTTCGTGCAATAATGAATTGCTTTTGAGTGCAATGTTTTTATGATTAAGGTGAAGTATGCTTTACCAGTAGAGTGTGCTGAGTGATTGCGATGAGGGCAGTTAAAGTCAAGCCATAATGTTTTTTATTTTTTTTAAGAGATATTTTTAAAAAAATGGGCAAAATATTTTGTGTTATTAAACTAAGAACAATCGTCTATAAATTTAAAAATATTCATTCAATAAGAAAATTAATAATTAGAAGAATATGCATAGCTATAATGATAAAAATAAGTATAGTCCAAATAAGTTACTCCCCAAATATGATATTTACCTAATTTTTGATTTCATAATATATCAAAATCATGATTTGTGACATATTTGGAATTACTCATAGTGAAAACTTCGGTTAGTCTTCATTAATGACATCCCAACATATTTGAATACTTTCTACATGTTTAGGAATAGTCTTACAATCACATTTCAACAATATTCATGCCTAATCTTTCTTCTCCCACACCTTAAATCATAGTCCTGCAACCACATATGCTTAATAGCATGCTACCACTTGTATGCTCTCAGGCACGTATTTTTCTAATTGCACTTTCGTTCCTAGTGCTCATTATCATCCCATTTCACTCACCATATCTATAAAATAAAAGTCATCGTCCAATTTCCATTAAAAAATTTAGCGCCTACACCAATTTGATATCATCAATTTCTCAAACCCCTTATTCAAGCTTTATAAAGTTTATGTTCTATTATTATGACAACAATGAAGACAATAAAATTGAAATTTTTACAATGTGGAGCCTAGATCTAAAAGATACATGACAAACAAAAAAGCTTTTTTGCGTAGTTACAAAATTCACAATATTTACTTCTAAATCAGCATTCTTATTTTATTGGAATATTTGATTAAGTTCATAAGCATTTAAAAAGGGAAAACTACTACGGATATTATTTAGATATAATTGATGATAACTAGACAATGTATTGCCTAAATATTCTAAATTATGCAGTGGAAGACAAATTTATTTATCTTTTATAGTTCTTGTGATGGTTAACTAAATGGCCGTCCTAAATCTCATTAAATTTCATATTGAGCCATATGCAATAGATGCCTACCAAAACCCATCAATTCTACATGGATCATACCTAAATATGTTGCGAAAGGATCTTAGTTAAAATCAAGTCATGAGATATTTTTTTAAATGACTTCCCAAACAAAAAATCATAAGGAACATTGAAAAGAAAATTGATAGCACATCATCAATTTCATAAAATACCAAAAAATAGATAACTTCCACCCCCTCCTTAACCACGATTAATAAGATTATTCTAATTCAAGTGATTTAAGTTATCAACATTATAAGCATCACTAAAATTCTTTCTTGTAAGTCATCAATAGGAAGTATTAAATACTCACCTCATTTGTTTCTGATCCAGTAGCAATATATCCATCAGAAATGGATAAACCCACAAAATTCTGAAGAAAAAAAGTACATAATACATCATCAGAATAGTTCAATAACATGGCAAAGAAGCTGAAAAAATAACAGGCATAGTAAGCTCTAATAATAGAACAACGTTCATGGGATAACATAGCCTAAACAAACACACAGTCTAGGCATCCTAATAAGGGAATGCAAAGCAAGTAGAGCTACTAACACATGTTAATGAAGTTCTTTTCGTTGTGTATCACTAAATGACATGAATATTTATAATAAAGAAACGAAAATAAATTTCTGCAGCCAAATAAACATACACCGCTCAATATAAAGTACCTTTTCAACTTGATATTTTCCTATGCTAAGACTCCCGACAAGTTAAAAGCATATATATTAGTAAATCCAGCTTATCAAATATTGGAGAGAATGGTAAAGGACTCCGAGCTTTCATAAAAATATCACACTTATTTTGAAGTGAAGAAATGAGAAATGATAAATCTCTAAGAAATTACAGCATCCCAAATAAAAAGACAATTAACCTCAATATATTTGATTCTTTCATGAAACAAGGTTGTTGTCAATATAAATGAAAGTAGGATCATCGAAACGTTGAGCCAAAAGTTATAAGAAAACGAAACTCAGCTTTAGTCAGAATTCCATAAGCAAAATGAATCAAAACTTTGTATTCAACCTTTACACTAGATCTAGTAACAATATTTTATTGCTACTTTTTTAGGTGATCAAATTACCTCCAACAAAACTAAAATATACAAGATTTTACTTCTTATCTTCAACTATAGCAATATAATTGGAATCTAATAATGCTTCAACATCCAACTAAGTAGTCTTAATGTAAAATAAAATTTTCCCTAGAAAGTTTTTGATATATCAAAGAATGTGCTGAATAGCCTTGGAATAATTTTATTTTGAAATTTACATATGTTGGCTGATAATTCCTACAACCACTGAAAAATAAAGCGGATGATAATAAGACAAATCAATTTTTAGACTAACATTCAATGCCAAGCTGGATCATCATAAGATTCCTTATTGTCACAAGTAGTATGCGTATCCAAAGAGATAATATAAGGTTTGAAACCTAGGACAATTTCATTAGGAGGATAAATAACTTTTTCTTTTTCAAAAATGATATAAACCGTTTTTATTATAGGAAAATTAAATTTCAATGAAATATTTAAGCATAAAATTTCTCTATTGACAAAACAATATTGCAAATAGTATTTTAGCTCAAAGTTCTTTTTTTATCACTCCAAGCAAATAAGATGCATTAGTAAAAGCAACCAATATAACCAAGCTTAATGGTGTATTTTCGAGGAAAATGGAAGGATCTTTGAAGCTACTATGAAGGTCAATCTTGCAAAAAAATTCCTACAATTTTTTAGACAAATGGTCCTCTTGAGCAACCATATGCTATTTTTCAGTTGAGCAAAATACCAAGGCAATTGATAAATATAACCTGCCCCTTTAAGATCATTATAAAAGAAGTCATTACTTTTGCTCATTTGTAGTATAAATCATCCTTGATTGTTGACCACAAATTGAAAGAAACAAAAATTGATTAAAAATAGTCTATCCGATAGATATGCGTGAATTCTTTGGTGATAAGCTGAGCTTTGTACTAATCCATTCAACAACAACAACAACAACAGCCCTTTATCCCACTAATTTTCGGCTACATGAATCATTTTTCTCCATTGTGTCCTATTGAATGTCATATTTTCATTTAATTCAAATATATTAAGATCATTTTTTATACAATATGCCCAAGTCTTTTTAGGTCTACCTCTGCCTTTCTTAACATAAGTCAAATCTAAAACATCTACTCTCCAATAGATGTACCAATCCATTGAACCATCAAAATAAAATTTAATAGAGAACATCCATCATCAAGCAATTTGTTTTAACCCAAAAAGGAGAAACTATCTCGATATCATAGCTCATTTTCATAAAGTATTCACAGCACTTCATGATATATCCTGGGGAAAAAAAGAGATTGTAAAGATAAGATATTCAAAAGGGAATAAATTAGGTTTTAGAAAGATCAATAAACTCTTTAGCAAGTGGTTGCTCAGTCAACTACGACAATATGGATGGAGGTGCAGTTGTGAAGATGATCAAAGTCATTATGAGTGAACTTTTGGAGGATACGGGTAGGAATAACAGCTTCAAGGGAAAGAAGAATAGATGAGGCTATAAAAAAGAAGGGAAAACATATAGGAATAATCTGACAAAAAATAATATTGGTCAAAGTATATAAGCAAAAAATAAGGAAATCATTCATATATTTTTTAAGCACATGAATATTAAAAAAATATACAATGAATGGAACAAGAAAAAAAAATCTTGTGTAAACAAAACTCACAAACTAGAAACAACCAAGAATCCTAGGTTTGAGAAAAAATGCAATCCGATGCGGATAAAATATTGAGATGGTGAAAGATTATTAAGTAAAAGAGAGATGGTTTAGGCGATAGTGAACTGTCATTCTCAAAAACTGACATAGGATATTCATAGAAAATATTAATTATGTCCTAGAAATATCAAGTAAAAGACGGCGTTGGCGTTCAACAACACCTAATTTTGTTGAGATGTAGAAGGATAAATTTGATGATTATTACCATTATTAGATGAAACAATGTGAAATTGAATTTGCATAAATTTTTAAATATTATTAGTGTATGAAGTTTTGATTAGAGCGGAAAAAATGAACTTTATTTTCTTACTAAAAAGTTTGAAATACATTGTATCTTCAACCAATATTCTGAGCATATAAACCCAAGTTAATCTTAAATAATCAAAATCATGATCCCAAATGTTCAAGCATATAAAAGTTTTCAGAATATTTGTAGTATGGAGGCTATAATCGAGGGCTATGAATGTTACACATGGATCCCAAAAGACCCTCAGTCTCTTATAAAAAAGACAAGTTTAGATAAATAAGGTAAATCTTCTTGAAACAAATGTTCTTTAGGCTAGCATCGACATGTCTGAGCTGGGCAAGTTTGGTCACTTTAGGAGGGACATTTGGGCCAAGCAGGTGTTTATAAATCTCAGGAGAGTACAACTAAGCTCTTGGTGAGTGCCTCTGAGTTATGGGCAAGTGTGACTTAACCTTATGCGAGTGCCTATAAGTCGCAGGAGGGTGTAACTCAACTAAGTTGCCTTTACATATCTTTTCATTCGGGACCTCCAATCTCTCATGAAAAGGATAAGGTGAGATAAACAAGGTAAATCCTTCTACCTCAAGCATATAACTTTTAGGCTAGCATCGGCATGTCTGAGCTGAGCAAGTTTGGTCACGTTAGGAGGTACATTTGGGTTAAGCTGGTGTTTATAAACTTAAGAAAGTACGACTAAGCTCTTGGTGAGTGCCTCTGAGCTATGGGCAAGTGTGACTAATCCATATGCGAGTGCCCAAAAGTTATAGGCAAGTGTAACTAAACAATGTTGCCTCTACATATCTATCTTTTCATTTGGTAGAGCCCATGTGTCAGAGATTGGACGCTACCATGCGGACACACATCAGATGGTCCCACTAGCACTTTAACATGATATTAGCATATGCAACTATATTTTCCCTCGAGATAAAGCAAGAGGAGAGTCAAAGGCTACTGCGTGCAGCAATGAGTTCCAATCACAGCATGAAATTGATGCATATGACTTTAGTCCACATTTTTCATTAGAAAAAGAACTAGAGAACTAGACCTACTTCAGCGATGTGCCTGCAAAAATGCATTATGGTTAAATCACAAATCAAAGCTACTGCACCTTCACATTTGTATGCCCTGTGAATGTCCGAATGGGATTGTCAAGGATCCTTGATGTACTCACGGAGAGGTCCCAAAGCTTCAATGAGTTGTCCGTTGATGAAGACACAAGGGTAGATGAATCAACAAACTTAACATAGCTCACAGTCTTTGAATGGCCAACAAATGTACGCAATGGAAGACTCATATTGCGAAGATCATAGCAGTAGATTAAAATATAATGATCGGCAAACCCATTAGCCAGTATGCCAGAAGTATCAGGTGGAAACTCAACTGAACATACGTTTGCCTTTGTTCTGATAGTACCAGTGCTTCCTCCCTACATTAAGAACCATATAGAAATACTTATGAAAACAAATAGAAGCTTGCAATATCTGATAGCAACGCATATTATTGCAAAGCTGACATACACCAAGTGCAAGAGTAGAATTGCCTGATTGATTTTCCAGAGCTTCACAGTGCCATCATCACTTCCACTGGCCAACTTAGTTGGATCTACTAGTGAATAGTTAACAGACCACACCCGCTTCTCATGCTCTCTCATTTCAAGGAGGACTTCACTTCTTGTGACATCCCATACCTAGAAACCACAAGTAGCATCATAAAACTAATTGTAAACAGTAAATGAGAGGAAGAAAGCAATGCAATGATTCACCTGCACAACCCCTTCAAAGTCGCTTGAAGCAATCTGATTCTTTATGTAGCCATTCCAGCAAACATTGCTAAGTTTTGATCTACTCGCCATCTCAATCACTGGATAATGCATATCACGGTCTTGATTTATAATTGCATCAAATTCAAAAACTTTAATCTTCCTATTTAAACCAGCAGTTGCAAAAAATTGCTTGTCCCGGTCAAATGCCAGGGAGCAAATTAAATTAGAGGAGTTTAGAAGATCTCTCTGCCTTAGTTCTGCAAGAACTTTAAATTGGCTGAAAGATAGGTACTTGCACAAATCCTCAAAGAAGGGATTAATCCATTGACCCATTCTTCTTCCACAAATGCCTTCCTTAGAAGCTAAGTAATTAACTGAATTCCCCACATTTTTCATAGTTGATCTACTACCAAGATTAGGAGCAACTAACTTACTTCTATTAAGTTTGCCAACGGGGTTCACGGAACTGCATCTTGATGAAAAATAAGCTGCTTCGAAGTTCTGTAAGTTTTTCATGATTCGACAACTTTTTGATAGAGCCTTATCTTGGATCTCCTGATTAGCCTCAGCTCTATGACCAAAATGCATCTCCTCATTCTCTACAACACAACCAACATGTCCCTGCCTAATGCGCTTCCTAGAACCTAAAGAAGAATCTTCATTCATTTCATAAAAAGGTATTGGACACTCAAATTTATGAATTGGTTTATGGTTTTTCTCCTGTTCTAAAAATGAGCATCCACTCTTCATGATGGCTGATCTCTGCTTAGCAACTTCTTCTATATCAGCACTGAGCATAACAAAGGTATCATGTAATTTATCAGCAGCTTCTTGTTTTCTTCTTTGCAGGAGCTGAAGGAAATCTAGGGTTAACTCTTGCTCTTCAATCCCTTCGTTCAACTTAATAGCTGCTTCAAGCTCTCCAACACTGTCCTTTATTTCATTAAAGAGCTCGCTTTGTAACAATTCGCTAGAACCCAAAAGAAAAGTAACCAAGCACTTAGTAATTCAAAATAAAAGTTAACAAAGAAAAAGTTGAAACAGTATTGCTTGCCTTAAGATGAACATTTTCCATAAATAACTACTAACCAAGTTTGAACTAGAAAGGATATTATTTCTAACATCTGATAAGGTGGAAATAGCTCCAAACATGCTGCACAACAAGAGGATGAAAATTTCAAGTTTTTTTTACATTTAGAAGGAAGTCCTACCAAATGCATCTCAACATATATATAGTCAAGTCAAATAGGAGATTTCTTTAAACTCCCCACAACTTGTTGAGATTTCTAACACAACCCATTTCAACAAATCCAATATACGTAATGCCTTAAAACTTGACTGGATTTTTTTATGCCTTAAAACTGAAAGCATAAAAAAAAGCCTCCCCCGATTAATAATGAGTTTTATTATTCCAATCGAGCAATTAGCTTATTTTTGTACACATTCGGAATCTAATGACTTAACCATTTATTAAAGGGTGGTTCAATCCAAAAACAAACATGTTGAGTTTTACATGGATTGACTCCAGCCTTACCCATCAATCTCAATTACACAGTAGTTTTGCAATTAAACAGTTCATCAAACTGGTCCTTATCTAAACCCCCAAGCAACAACAGTGAAGTAATTTATTAAATAAATGTTATTATACTATTTCAACTACTCCTAAAGGAGAAATGGTGGGGTGGATTGAGAAGGATAGTAGGATAATTACTATATATTTTATTAAGGATGAAGAGTAATATATTCAAGTAGTCAATTACTGATTTTTACAATGTAATGGTTAACATTATGCAAAACGATACATTTGCAGCGAATGGTATTTTTGGCATCATGTAATCATTAATGTGGATTGAATTTGTGATAGCATCATTAAATAAATGATAAGCATAAACCTTCTCAGAAATTTAAATTTCCACACAAGTAAGACCTAATATTGATGTCTAGTTGATACATTAATATTACATATATGTCCAATGGGAATCATAGAGAAGGCCAGTTCAGCTACCACAACGTAAGTGATTTCGAAAATCTAACAAGAAGATTATATTTCAAAACTAACCTCGTTGTAGGACGACTATTAGGCCGCGGGTGCAACAATTGCAGGCAAAATGAAGCCTCCTTTGGCCACTTGAATAGCATTTGTGGTGGAAGCACCCGGTGTTTCAAGTTGGCCATTTTGCTAATCTTCTCTTCTAAAGTGTCAAACGTGCAGAATAACTAGCAAAAAACAAAACCAACCAACTAGGAAAAGATAATAAAAAAGAAAAGTTTAAAGGTTGAATGATAAGGGATTTATCGGACAGAAAAAAAATGATAATTTTAAATCCAAGATTTAGTCAATTCAGTTCCTTCTCAAATACTTTTCAGCTTTGACTTAAATCCATGATTTAGTAAACTTTGTTGTTAGCAAGATTCAGGTATGTTTGGAGTTCCTATAGTTTTTTAAAAATGTCAGTGGAAATTATAAATATATACTTTTTTAAACAAAATTAGACCGCACCTTCACGAAACGGGTAGATAAAATAGCTTCTCATCACATAAATTTCTAGAAAGCAATAAGAAAGTGTTTTCCTAAATAAAACTTTAGTGACGGTCTGAAATGCAAAACATGCATAAAGCTTTTCCAAACAGACCCTTACAAGATTTATTTAAATTGCTGAAGCCCTTATCATATAGGCTATAGCTTACAAGGAAAGTATTAAAACAAAAAAAGGATTTTTACATACCGCTCATCCAAAATTTTAAATATAACATTTTAGTACCCATATTCTAAATAAAAAAATTGTATTCTTACCTCAAAAAGAAGAACACCTAATTTATATATATCCGAAGCAAAGGTAATTTTCCCTCCTTCAACTTCTTCAGGGCTTCTGTACCAATTAAACTCCAAATTCAATATCTTTTTAAGAGGGAAGTCCCTCCTCTCCCCAACCTCAATCACCACATCCAATCCCTTCTTTCCTTCCAATTCCTCCACTGAAGCCAATTCTGTAACAGCGGCCACCTGCTTATCTCCAGCAGTACCACCATCTCTACCGCTATCTTCCTCTCCAGAAGAAGACTCTGAAGCCGAGCTCGAGCAAGAAGCGGATTCAATGAAGGAAACACTGTAAAAGCTCGACATCACAAAACAAGATGGCCTGACGTTGTTCAGCACCACATTCAGAGAATGAGCAATGTTCACCGTTTCGACCACCTGCCGGAATATATGAAGGCACTCTACCAAGTCTACCAACCGCTTGGGTTGATCCAACCATTCCCTCAGACTCACCTCGCTGGGATTCTGATCAACATGATCGAAAGTCTTCAGTCCGACATCAAAGCTTCTTCCTTGATAGAACTTGACGAGACAATCATCCTCCTCCGCCTCATCGTCCATAGAAGTTCGGCAGCTGATAAATCGGAATCCACTAATTAGGCCTGCGATGATGCGTCCAATGTCCAAGAACCCTAGAGGTGGACAACGTCTCCCAGCTCGACTCCTCTTTTGAAGCCTCCATGCTACCTACTCCATTGCAAGAACAAACCTCTGAAACCCTAGGGCATTCATTCCGCACGCCAATACAGAGACCTCCAACCTCAAGTTAGAATTTTTAATAGTTCATGTCTCCTCGATTTGGAGCGAGGACGAAGGGAATGAAGGAGAAGGCCAAAATGGAGAAATCTCTGAAACCTGCAATCTGAAAAAAATATTAACATATTGATGTTTCAGTCAGTATTGGCTTGCAGTTCGTTTGTTTAATGGGGATGGAGTGTTGGAGAAGATGGGCCAACCATTTTCGTTATCCACTCTCGGCCGCGTAGTTTGGATCCTATCTGTTAAACGGCTTACGTGGAGCTTCCATGCCCGACCACAGAGCTAGCACGTCAAGGTTCCAGCTGTGGCTCGGTTTCTGTGCACGAAGCCCATCGTTGGGTTGGGTTTAAAATTTATCATCAATCTCCAAGCATGGGCTAGCTCGTGTTATGCTCGTTGAGAAATACGATTATTCGTGTTCGACTCATTTATATTTCGAATACAAAAAAACTGTTTATGTTTAACTCTTTTGTTTGTCGGGTTAAACACAAGTTATTTGTGAACACAGATCTAATTTGACAACCATAGTCAAGCATGAAATCGTTAGAGGTGTAAACGAGACCAACTTGAGTGAGCTCAAAAAATTTGTACGTGTTTGGCTCGTTTGTTTATCGAGTCAAACACTAGCTCTTCAAGAACAATGAGCTATTTTGACAATCCTAACCACATATTCATAAGATGTTAAAAGGTATAGTGAGATTTAAATATTGTTATTTATATTAAAATATTCATTTAAATTGAATTATTTTTTTATTCTATTTTTAATTAGTATTTTAATTGATTATAAATATTTGTAGCCTTGTA